AAGTGTGGAGCTAAAAGTTGTCTTACCACTTCTATGGGATAGTGTGGTGAAGAAATTGTATCCAGTGAGAAGTTATACAAGTTTACCAGTATAACTTCCAATTTTAATACTTTTTGATTTTATATTTGTGAGAGTTTCCTTTTTTGGAGGGGGTAAAAATAATACTTGTGCTACCTCCCCTAGAATAGTGTGAGGAAAGTGCATTTTAAATCTTGACATAGTACATAAATGTGAGTTACTACCAATAGAGGTCCTCTGAATGAACAAGTTATAGAAATGTAATGCAAAAATGATTGGAAGTCATTCATTGACATTGAATTCTACCTCATTTTGGTTGGTGTTCAGTGTTAGTAAAGATTAATAACAATTTAAAAAGAAATTTCTAAAAATATGTCTTGATTTCCATTTCTTGTAAATGTATAGTTGATTATACTGTTTCATACTGTGGAATCTCAGGAATCTTCCTGTGGCTTTGGAAACAAATCCAACAGTGGGACATGTATGCATAGATATGAAAAATTTCCACTTACTATTTTCATATAAAAAAATTCTGGTTGTGATTTTTCTCAAATAACCAAATATCAAAAATTGATTTTCCCTTAGACTGTGACTTCTGCAAGTATTTAAATGAAAGATTCCAAATGGGAAATCTAAGTGCCGCCCATAAGTGATTTACTTAGTAAACGTAAGAGAACACACAGCTTAAAAGATTCAGCAAAAACAAAAAAACAAAAAAACAAAAAAAACCTCCATACACTGTTTGAGCAATATTGCTTTTGTCCTTGAACTGTCAACTGCTTTACAGTTTTTTGAGAAGTTTATGGGAGTCTATTTACTGTTTGCAGATGGTCATCTTATCAGAGATGTCATTACCAAAAATAACCCAGGTTTTTCTGCTATAAACACATCCTCTCCTCTACCATTGCCTTTGTCAAAACAGTCTATTACTGTTTAAAAGTCATGAGTTTTATAGTATGTACTGATTCAAAATTATAACTAATCTAATAATGCTGGTACATAAAACAGGGGTCCCATTCAGAAACTGATAGAGCTTTTTCCCCCTTGTATGAAACTACAAACAAACTAATTCACCTAAAAGGTTTATTGGAGTAGAGGTCAAATGTTGGAAAAAATAAAGCTAGACTGGAGAAGCAATGTCAGGGAGTTTTGTCTAAGTTACTTACTGGGAAGGAAACTAAATGGTTAAGCCTGATTCCTAATAGTAAAAGTCTTAGCTGTCATGGTATGATTCTTTTCCTCAGAATACTCTTTTTTGCATTGAATAGGCAACACCCAACCCATAGAAGTATTTACATACATTTAAGCAAAATATAGTTTTGACATTGGCTTTAGCAAAGTTCTGTATCTTTTGACCTTATCTATACCTAGTAATCTCTCTATTATATCACTGTTGGGAGAGAAATGAGGACTTGAAAAGAGAGAGCATTTATTTTTTTTGACACTAATAGTCACAATTCATGAGCTTTTGTTGATTGGCATTAAATGAGAATGGAAGAGATATCTGATCTGTTATGAATAGAGGAGATTGTGCAGATATCAATACAGACCAATCACCACTGGAAAAACAAAAACAACACTCCTTTCTTAATGAAAGTGGATCTTTATGAAAGGGATAGACTGATTAAAAATCAATATAAGGAATAAAAAAGAGTTAAGTAGCTTCTGATTCACAAGTTCAATAAGTAAAGAAACAGGATAGGAATTAGACCTATGATTTCAATGGTATATGGAACTCTCAGGTGATGAAAGCCTTTCTGCCAATATAGATAATATTTGTAAAGTGCTTAGTATAGTCCATGGCGGGTGGGTGCTTAATAAGTCAGTCTTTCCTTCTTCCTTTCCCTTCCTTCCTTGATTTCTTCTTTCCTTCTTTCTTTCCTTTCTTCCCTCTCTGAAAATTATTGCCTTAGAGAACTGCCTCAGTCACTGAGAGACTAAGTGATTTGCCCAGGGTCACATAGCCAGTGTCTGTGAAAGGTAGGATTTGAACCCAGGTCAGCTCAGCATCCACTCTGGCATTATTATAGCCCCTTTCTCCATGAGCTATTTAATTATTGAAAATAATGGTGAGTTGAGTGACATTACACAAATGATTTTTTAGTGTGTATAATAATCTATGAATTATCAGTTTATTATACATGTATATAGTATAGAGTTGATCTGGGAATCCTTAATCAAACCTTCAATCTATACAATAAAATTACAGAGCATGGACCTTTGTGAGAAAGGGGAAGTTCTCATGGAGGTGGACTTTCACATTGGCTCATCACTGACTGATAAGCAAGTGCTTTGAGATGTATAGGAGCTCTTTATTGGTCCCTATATGTTCCCCTACCTGGGGACTGTGTTGATGACTGGCTCATGAGTCAAAAGAAACTTCTCTCTTTGGTGGTTTATAAGAAAGGTAGAAATGATTCCACCAGTTTGCTGTGTAACTTAAATCTAAAGTAGAGAATGCTCTGGATATATTCCCAGAGAGACTGGCCTCAAAGAAAGTAGGTGTAGTCATTTCTACCCTCTTTTTTCAGTTCAGCAAGGTGGGGAAATTCTACCTGACTTAGTCAACAGTCATCTTTAGCACAACCCCTAGGCATGGAGAGATACAGAGATCAGTCAGGAGATGCGATGCATACCAAAGCAGCTGCCCTTCAGTGCTGAGCCAGAAGGAAAATGTTCAGTTCCACAGGAAATTTTATTTATTAAAAAAATAACTGTTTATAATTTCATGAAGGGGGTTGAGGGGACTCAATTCACTATACATATATATACAAGCTGTCTGCATTTGTTAGATTGTTGGTTTCTGGCATCAGAGGAAAAAATGTTTATTTCAGATTTAGGTTTGTGTAATTTTTTCTTAAAGGGTGTCATAATAAAAAAAACACATCAGCTACAGAGTCAGAAATCTGTGGATTTAAATATTGACTCTACTATTAACTTGCTGCTTAGCCACATACGTTATCTGAGCCTCAGTTTCATCATCTGTCAGGAGAAAAGACTTTGTAAACTCTAAAACAGTGTGCAAACATAAACAGTGATCACTATTACTTTAAAAGTGAAAGTGGGAGGCTTTATTATAGTATGCAGAGCACTGGATTGGAAGTCAGAAGACCTGAATGCTTAGTATTGTCCTTACTATCTGTTTGACTTTGAGCAAATAGACCCAATTTTCTCATCTGTACAATTAGCGCGTTAGATTAAGTAATCATTAGAGTGTTTTCCAAATCTAAATAATGTGATACTATTATTTTTCTTATATTTTTTTAAAGTGCTATACTTGTTATAAAGTATGTGGTAGATTGGGTTCTTTCATTTAAAAAGCTTAAAACACAGATGACAAGCTGCTTCTTCAACGAGTGATCATAAAATGTTTCTAAGCCCTTTTATGTTTTGGCTTAATAGACTAGGGATGAACTGAGAGCTGGCCTGTGTTAGAGAGTTGCATGGAAAAGATGTATATATTATGTAGAGAAATAAAGAAAGATATAACGATGCATTCCATGGGAGGTGAAGACCATTGGAACATAGGTGTAGAATTGAAAGAGATTTATAGGTCATCTAGTACAACTCCTTCATTTTCCAGATGAGGAACTTGATGACCAGATCACACTCACACAGAAAAAAGGAAATGAAATGAATAATGGAGACTGGAGTTATACTGTGCTGTGCCTGAGGTTGAGAACAAAAATCTGCCTTGGGAGATTCATATTTTAAATTAATGTTTTATTTTTTAAATCTAGTTTCCTTTCTCATTTAGTGCCCCTCTTCGTCTTTCCTCAGTCCTATTTTAGATCCATCCTTAGTTAGTTTTCAGTAAGACTACAGGGGAAATAAAATTACCCACACATTACAGTGACATTTAGGGGGAAAAATAATAATATATTTGATCACAAGCTCAAGTGATGCAACTATACGTGGGGATATTTGGGACCATGCCTATATTAAATATGAAAAAAACCTAAAATACTTCTCTTTTTCATTTGTTCCCTGCCAAATAACTAGCTATGTTAGATAAGAAAGCAGACCCATAATATAAAATTTTTTAAATCCTCAGTATTTTTTTTCAATAGTGGTGGTGCAATGGATAGAGTGCTAGACCTGGAGTCAGAAAGACTCATCTTCTTGAGTTCAAATCTAGTCTCAGATACTCAGATACTGTGTGATCCTGGGCAAGTCACTTAAACCCTGTTTGCCTCAGTTTTCTCCTCCGTAAAATGAGCTGGAGGAGGAAATGTCAAACCATTCCAGTATCTTTGTCAAGAAAATCTCAAATGCGGTCATGAATACTCCGACAAGACTGAAGTAACTGAATAACAAAATTTTTCCAAAAGATAAAAAGAACTTATATAAATGAGAGCATATACTTTAAAGCAGCCCCCCTAGAGAAACTCTAAATCACAGATTCTTAACTTGGTGTTCACAGATCCTCAAAGAGTTCATAGATGGATTTCAATGGGTCTGTAAACATGAATGGGAAAAAATTACACTTTTATTTTCACTAACTGAAATTGAGCCTTTCCTTCAATTGAAAAAAATATTCTGAAAGAGTTGGCTTTAAACTCCTGCTCTACATTCTCTCCATTGATGTTGTCATTGCTCAAAATATTTTTGGGAACTTATCTCTTAGCTTTGCTTTCAGGGTCAGTTTAGCAGCCACCCAAGAAAACCCACATCATCATTTTGTTGTCATTCTTTAAAACAAAAGCAAACAGAATTTTATCACTCAGTTTATTTACTCATTTCATTCAGCTTGTCTCTAAAAGATTTTGGAAGAGAGGTTTCTAGAAATCAAATCTATTCTCAAAAGATAAATATGTGTTATCACTGAGGGTATGTCAAAGAATATGTAGTAAGGCACATACCAAATGTGAATTTCTGTCTAATCCTATCTTAAGTCCTCCCTACAATCTGATTCTTTTTGGATTGATACTACAAGATAACTGCAATTTACTTTTTGTGTGTTTTTTTTTCTCCCTCTGCAGGAAGTAACCAAAGCAGTGCAGCCTCTCTTATTGGGACGAATCATAGCCTCCTATGATCCTGACAACAAAGTAGAACGATCCATTGCAATTTATCTAGGCATAGGTTTATGCCTTCTCTTTATAGTGAGGACACTGCTTCTACACCCTGCCATCTTTGGCCTTCATCACATAGGAATGCAGATGAGAATAGCCCTGTTTAGTTTGATTTACAAAAAGGTAATGTCTTTTTGAAAATACATGATGGCATAACAGGAAGACCCACTTTGCTATGTGTTGTGAATGAATCCTGCTAGTATGAAGCCTTTTTTAGATGCCATGAATTCACAATTAGATAGAAATCACAAAAGTTTGAATTTGGAGGATTGGAGAATTATTTAAAATCCACCTATTCCTCTTCTTCCTTTCCCTGCTTTCTTCATTCCTTTAGACATATTATTATCTGGGAGAAAGCAAGTACCTGGAGGGCAGAGACTATTTCATTTTTTTGTCTCTGTATTTCCAGCAGGTAGCACAGTTCCTGGTACATAGTAGATGCTCAATCAGTGCTGATTGAATTGAATTGAACTGAAACACTGCCAGAAGCACTAGTGTCAGGGTATTGATGTCATTAAAGGTCAATATCAAAATGAGTCATGTTTAAATTTTTTCTCACATAATTAACATTGTTATAGCACATTGTAGTCTTCTGAGCTAGAAGTCACCTTAGAGAACATCTACTCCCAATCCCCTTATTTTACAGATGAAGAAGCTGATGTCCAAAGAGGGAAGTGGCTTGCCCAGTGTCACAGAAGTAGCAATATAGGACTTGAACCCATATCTCCTGTCTTCAGAGGCAACATTCATACTACTATACTATATCCCTCTTTTTCAGATCTTAAGGCTATAAACTTCATTGCTAAGTGGATATAGGCTGTCACATGCCCCATTTTTAACTTATTTTTTATTTCCCATTAAAGTGACTATCACCACCTACATAAAAATTAGCAGAAATTGACCTTTAAAATTAATTGATGGAAGTAAGGTTAAAGAAAAAATGAAATACTATATTTTAAATTTTAAAAAAGAATTATTATAAACTATAACAGGAAAACTTACAGTCCTAGCATGTTGTAATAGAAAAATATAGCCTTAAATGGGGCTTGATTTTACATTCCTATAAACCCTGCAAATTATTTGTACTAGTATATGCATTACATGCCAGCAGTAAGTATGTGCTGATTCAATCTACCCTACCTCTGTTTGTAATGGCAAGCATTCAAAAAACAGTCTGATTTTGCCGAAAGCATTGTAAATGGATTTAGCCCAGTTCATGTTATTTTCCAAACAGGATTTAGAGCTGTTACAATCACATATACTAGGGCCAGTCCTGACTTAACACAATGTATGGCTTCCTAATTCTGTCAAGTATGAATAGAAAGGTATTACAGTAGAAATGTTTGATAATTTCTTTACCTTCATTTTTGAAAATGGCGACTTTGTATAGTTGAGTTAATAAAGACAAATAACATGTAATATAGCATCAGAGAAGATCCTAATAACAATTTCATGATAGAAAAGCTAGATCTCTTCTGTTCTAAAATCATAATACTCATCCTTTATTATCAGGCAAACTTTGTAGTGGGAAGAGGAAGAAAACACGTTCTCTATCTTAATCACATCACTGAAGACGGTCTCCTAAGTGAATAAGCATTAGAAAATACCAATGATGTAATCCTCAGTTTAAAAACTGATCTAAACACTGTCTTTTGAGAAGAATTTATAATATTTTTCCTGGAGTTTAGAGTCTGTACAACATGGACATCAGAGAGAAAAATATCACAAAGAAGACACTGATTTGTAAACATCCATAAGCAGTACTTACGCCTTATCATTCTTTCCCCGTGGGTCCTTGCCAAATTATGTTATCTCTTCAGCCTCACCCTCATGGCATCCATAGTTATCATCATTAAAATAGTATAATGAGCATGCATGGCACTAGTTTAGGCACTGCACTCGACTGTGAGTTAGACCTACCCTTGCCTCACCCTTTCCCGTGCCTGATCAGTTTTTACCCTTATGGCAACTAGCCACTCACCACTCCCAACTCCATTCTTGTCTTCTCAACTCCATTCCAACTTTTATGATAGAGCAAGTTGTTCTGTATTATAAGTTCTGCAATCTGGCAACACCTTTATAATTTAACTACCAGTCATAGACACTAATAAAGTAGAACACAACAAAACAAACCAAAAACAAGTGCTAGCTCCTCTAATTAGATCCTTATGAAAAGATTTTCCCAAGTGGAAGAATAAATCAAATCAACATATATAATATATTATGTGTGTGTGTATATATATATATATATATATATATATATATATATACACATATAATATATTATGTGTGTATATATATATATATACTACACATATATATATACACACACACACATATATATACATATATATACACACACATATATATACATATACATATATATATATACATATATTGAATGCTTTCTATATGTAAGGCATTGTGCTGGGATGTGTGATGCAAGGAAGTATAAGATATGGTCCTTGCCTTCAAAGCGTTCAGTCTTTTTAAGAATCGTTCTCATATCTCACAGGGCATTTGTGAGTATCAAATTAAATAATAATATATTAACATATTAAGTATAATTTTTATATTATATTATTGTATGCACATGTATATGTATATGTATGTCTATGTATACACACACATACACACATATACCACTCCTTAGGTTTTGATATCAATACTCTATTGATGATAACATTTGCGATTTAATTTAACGTAGGAATAGACATTTCTAACCAAAATTATTAAATGAGAAATTATAATTAAATTATCTAGAATAGATCAGAGTCTATGGATTTTTATACCACAGGATCTCAATATATTTTGTTGAGTCATTTCAGTAGTGTCTAACTCTTTGTAACCACATTTGGGATTTTCTTGGCAAAGATACTCGAGTGGTTTGCCATTTCCTTCACCAGCTCATTTTACAAATGAGAAACTAACGCAAGCAGGGTTAAGTGACTTGCCCAGAGCCATGCAGCTAGTAAGGGAGGCCAAATCTGAGCACAGGTCCTCCTGACTCCAGGGCTTATGCTCTTTCCACTGTGCCATCTAGCTGCCCTTTTGATATATCACTATATCCTTAATATGTTCTCTTCATTGATGCAGGTTGCAATTTATCTGCTTCTTATCCTATTAGAATCTTGTCTATGTTCTCCTATAACTTCTCCATGCTAGAGTAACATTTTGTGGATAGCCTTGGATCATTCAGGCTTCATTAAACATAATCTCCTGTTTGTTTGTTTCATTTTTGCTTTTGGATCACTAGCACCTAGCATAACACTCAGAACATTTTTTCTTTTGAAATACCAATCAATCACTAATTAATATTATGTCTAATATTGTATGCATTTAAATATTAATGATTTACCTGTAATGAAATTTTAATAATTGTTATAAAATAGTTATAATATAATATTTATATATATATAAATAGTTATAAAACAAAAATATTAATACCAAGATTCTAATTAAGAATGCCCACTAATTTTTTATTTTTAAAAATATTACATACATATAATTTAATTATATATAGATATTTACATATTGTTATTCATGTCATATGATTTGGAAATCTTTACAAATGGAGGAGGGGAAGGATTCAGGTACTGTATAGCTTTTAGAAGATAAAAATCTAGCTAACAAAATATAATCATATAAATCTAAAAGGAAAATTAAGTAAAGTGATTTTCTGTGTTTTTAATAAGCAAAGATAGTATGTTCAGTATAACTTTTTTTTTAATAATTTTTTTGGGGGCTAGGCAATGGAGTTAAGTGACTTGCCCAGGGTCACATAGCTAGTAAGTGTCAAGTGTCTGAGGCTCAATTTGAACTCAGGTCCTCCTGACTCCAAGGCCAGTGTTCTATCCACTGTGCCACCTGACTGCCCCATAATGCCTCTTTTATAATGTTACTGGATATTCCTAGTAATGTTAGGATACGTTGATGATACTTTAAAGCCAATTCTTTTCCTTTTTTCTCTTCAGACCTTAAAACTGTCAAGCCGTGTTCTAGATAAAATAAGCACCGGACAGCTTATCAGTCTTCTTTCCAACAATCTGAACAAGTTTGATGAGGTATGTAGCAGCTCATTTAATCTTTTGTGCATGTCGTATCACACAATTAATGTAAACAACTACACATCTTCACAAAACTCATAGCTTAGAGCTTTCCTGAATCAGATGACAGCAGTGTGCGGTTGAACCCTGATTATTATGAAATTCTGATCTCTGCCTCACTCAGCTGTATTTCCTCTGGTTGAATTAATTCGTGATTCAGAAGGGAATTAGCTTGGAGTCTGTGATATTACAGAGCTTAGAAGAAACTTCAGCATGTGAACATGGCTTCCTAGTAAGCAAAATTTACCGAGTTATCAGGTCTGTCTTCCCTTCCTAATTCCACTCTTTGACTGCCTATCACACCCTAAGTATTTCTGATTCAGGCCCCTCTGTTAAAGAATGTGCATCAGCCCTTATAACATTTAAGTTTCTATTTTGGCCATAAACAAACACATGATTCTAAGGATCTGGAGATCTATCATGCCCCTGTGCCCTAGCTGCTGTTTTTTTTTTAAACTAAATCATCAGTGTGCTATTTAAAATAAATGTCTGACATATTAAGTATTCAAAGTATCAAGTCCTAAGCTTAGAGGCGTGCAACATTTTCCCGTGGAAGTACTTTAAGAAATGGGGCCTGCAATTGATTAAAGTGTGGGTGTGGAATGTGTTCTTAAGGTAATTGACACCTAGACTGCCGCGTGCTCAGATCCTCAAAGGTTTAGATAATTTTGTACTACTGCGCTCTCGTTCTGATACGCTTTTGTGGGACATAACTCCAAGTCTTTTCCTGGCTTTCCTTTTGTTAAACTGTGGCTTTTTCAGGGGCTGGCGCTGGCACATTTTGTCTGGATCGTACCTTTGCAAGTGGTGCTCCTGATGGGACTTCTTTGGGAACTGCTACAAGCCTCAGCGTTTTGCGGACTTGCTTTCCTAATAGTACTTGCTCTGTTCCAAGCCTGGTTAGGACAGATGACGATGAAGTACAGGTGATAAAGCTTTTCTTGCCCCGCCCCCGTTTTCTTCTTTATGGTGTTTGCGAAACATGCACTGACATACTGTTAGGACTGTTTCATGCTGCTATCTGACCTACCATCTCGTTAAATAGGAATTAATTTAAGGATTTCAATACCACTTTTTGTGATTATGTAGCATTTTATATTTGTTAATCTATTGAATAGCTCTAGGGAAATTAGTAAAAATTAATATAGTTTTTATAGATTACAAAATGCATTTGAGAGACATCAATTACATGCACATGATGTAAAGAATCTGACTTTTCCAATCGCATCCCAGTCTCTCTAGGTTTTTTTGTTCCTTCAAATGAGGATTATTATAATATTCAAATGTTATATTATCGATGATATGTTACGTAGGGTTACTATTATCAATAACTTAATTTAGCATTGTTTTGCATTTGTGACCCAGTAACAATACAATATTGATGTGACATTTTTGCATTTGTGACCGAACTGCCTCAGCAACTCAAAAAAAACTACCTACTGAGGAATGAAAGAGTGGTAATCTGTTTTGGTGTGTGGTAGAAAGATGTATAACTATCTACACCAATTATTTCACAAATACCTGAAGTACAATATGGAATTGTTATTATTGATAATGATGATCGTATGAGCAGAGCAAATTAGAAATCACCTGGAGTCTTTTTTTTTTCCAAAAGATTTGCGGCTGAATCCTGTCTTTTTAATTTTAAAAACTTTGATTCCTCTAACTGGCATGAACAATGCTGATTAAGCAATGTAAGTTATTTTGACCAGAGAACCGTAGAATAACAATGATGGAAGGGCTCTTTTGAATCATTTTGTCTAACAGATATAAGACTATGCCAGTAAAGATATCCTGAATTTGAACTGATTTAATTTTATTACTTTTTTTTTCAGAGAAAGGAGAGCAGGAAAGATAAATGAAAGACTTGTGATAACTTCAGAAATGATTGACAATATACAGTCTGTTAAGGCATACTGTTGGGAAGAAGCAATGGAAAAGATGATTGAAAATCTAAGACAGTAAGTTATCTTTTTATGACCAAAATTTCCAGATTTGTGGCAATTTAGAAATTTAGAAGCTGCTAAATTGCGTGTTATGTTAACTGTAGCTCTGCAATATTTAAACTGTTGCTTTCTAGTTGCTTATAATATTTTTTGTTTGACCTGGGAGCTCTGAGGCTTAGCTATAATGTTCCTGTAAGTTTTCATTTTGGTATCTCTTTCAGGCAGTAATTGGTGGATTGCTTTCAATTTCTGTTTTACCTTCTAATTCTAGAACTTCGAGGCAATTTTCCTTAATAATTTCTTGAATTATGATGGCTAGAATTTTTTTAAAATCATAACTTTCAGGTAGTCTAACAGTTCTCATATTATCTCTCCTCTATTTTCCAGATTTTCCTAATGACATGTTTTATATACATTCTCTCCTATTTTTTTCATTGTTTAAATCTTGTTTTATTATTTCTTGATGTCTTATGAAGTCATTGGCTTCCCCTAGCATAATTCTAATTTTTACTTTTGGATCTCTTTTTTCAGTTGGTTGACTTCCTTTTTATAATTTTCTTGCTTTTCTTGCATTATTATTATTTTTTCCCAATTTTTCTTCAACCTCTCTTATTTGATTTTTAAAGTCCTTTTTAAGCCCTTCCAAGGACTCTTTTTGGGCTTATGACCATTTTATATTTTTCTTTGAAGCTTTACAAGAAACTGTTTTGTCTTCTGAGTTTGAAATCTGATTTCCTCTATCACCGTAGCAACTATCTATGGTTGGCTTCCTTCTCTGTTGCTTACTCATTTTATTAGCAGCCTGTTTGTTGTTTGTTAACTTTATGTTAGGGTTGGGCTCTGCTTCTGGGCATGGGGGATAATGTCTCAGGCCTCCAGTTTTTCATGCTGTTGTTTTCTGAGTTCTATCTAGGGGAATTTTTAAAAAAAATTTTTTCTATTGTTCTATAATCTAAGACCAGATGTGGTCACGGCTTCTCTGGCTCATGCCTTGGTCTATAAGTGACCTCAGGCTGTGACCTGGGTCCCCAGCACCACCGCTGCAAATTCTCTTGCTCCCTATAGTCCCTCAGATGGCTGCAGGCATCAGCTTGCCCTTCTGCCCTAGAACTGAAACCAGGGACTCATTCTCCTGAGAGCAACCATAACCAGCAGGGCCCTGCCCTTCTGTGACCACATTCACCAGCATGTGCTCACTCCTACTTGCTTATAGCCACAGCCTGAATCCCTCTCTGGTGGTGCAACTGAGCCCCATGTCCTGAACCAGCAGAGGGCCACCATAATATTCCCACCCAACATTCATGGGGTGAAACCTCCCAAAAGTAAGGCTGCTGCAGACACAGCTGCCCCCAGGGCTTGCTGTCTGTTGAATCTGTTGTATCTGTTAGAATGTATCTTCACTTTAGTAAAGCCAGACCACCACCCCTGCAGATCAGATCTTTCTTAATGCTCTCTGAAGTTGTCTTAGGCTGGACGATTGATTTAGCCCAATATTTAATTATTTCTGCTTCTCTAAAATTTACTTTGAGGCATTATTTTAAGTTATTTGTGGGGGAATTTGGGAGAGCCACTAGTTTCCTGCCTTATTCCACCATCTTCCCACAATTTCCTCCTATTCTCTTGATCTCAGTAATTAATGAGTCTGTTATACCTTTAAGTAGGTGAATTCCTAGAAGATGTCTCGCCAAGCAATATTAACTATTTCTCAGTAATTATGTTGTTGTTTTTCAATGGTTTTAGTCATGTCCAACTCTCTGTGACCCCAAATGAGGTTTTCTTGGCAAAGATACTGTAATGGTTTATTTCCGTCTCTAATTCATTTTACAGTGAGGAAAATGAGGCAAGCAGGGTTAAGTGATTTGCCCAGCGTCACACAGCTATTAAGTGTCTGAGGTCAGTTTGAACTCAGGAAGATGAATCTTCTTGACACCAGGCCTGGCCTGGCACAACCAAGCTGCCCCAGATAATTGTGTACCTTCTAAATTATATCTCTAAATGTTTACATCAATAAAATAGAGAAAGAGAAGATCAACGAATTGGGTATACAATTTTAAAAAAACTAGAAAAAGAAAAAATTAAAAAACCCCAATTAAACACTAAATTGGGAATGAAAATTAAAGGTGATATTGATAAAATTGAATGTAAGAAAACCATTGAATTAATAAAACCAGGAGTTGATTTTACAAAAAAAAAACAAATCCTAAAAAACAATTGGTTAATATGATTAAAGAGAGAAGAAAACCAAGTAATTAGTATTAAAAATGAAAATAAAAATAAAAATAAACATATTTTGGAAAAAATTGGACAAGCCATAAATGAATAAGAATAAATAAGAGAAAATAAATAAGAAAAAAGAATTTAAACCAGTTGGATTTACAACTGAATACTACCAAACATTTAAAAATAAACTAATTCCAATATTAAATAAATTGTCTGGAACAATAGGTAAAGGACTCCTATCAAACTCATTTTATGAAACAAATACTGTGCTGATACCTAAACTAGAAAGAGCAAAAACAGAAAGAAAACTATAGACCAATTTCTTTAATGAATATTGATGTAAAAATCCTAAATAAAATACTAACTAGGAGACTGTAACAATATGTCACAAAGACAATACCTTATGATCAAGTAGGATACCAGGAATGAAATCAAAGCTATATATAATCGTATTAAAAAATACTCTAAATCATCATTGATTAGTAAAATGTAAATTAAAACAATTGTGACATACCTCATACCTATCTGATTGGCTAAAATGATAGAAGGGGGAAATTACAAATGTTGGAGAGGATGTGAAAAAATTGGGACAGTAATACATTGTTGGTGGAACTATGAATTGACCCAACCATTTTGAAGAGCAATCTGGAATTATGGCCAAAGAGCTATAAAACTGTGTATTTCCTTTGACTTAGCAATACCACTATTAGGTTTGTTTCCCAAAGTGATCAGGGAAAAAGAAAAGGAACCTATATGTCTAAAGTATTTATAGCAGCTCTCTTTGTAGTGGCAAAGAACTGGAAATTGAGGGAATGGTTGAATAAGTTGTGATGTATGATTGTGATGGAATACAATTGTGCTGTAAGAAATAATGAGCAGGATAATTTTAGGAAGACATGGAAAGACTTGCAAGAAATAATAAAGAGTGAAATGAACAGAAACCAAGAGAATGTTGTATAAACCATCAGCGATATTGTTCAAAGAGTAATTGTGAATGATTAAGCTATTCTGAATTGTATATGACTATTCAAATCAACTACAAAGGATCTCTGAAGAAAGATGCTATCTATCTCCAGAGAAAGAACTGATATATGGAGCTATGTATTGTGTAGTTTCACAAATATATCTGTGTCACAAATGTTCGGCCTCCTCTAGTGCAGGGCTGGGAGGGAGTAAGGAAATAGCTTGGAACTCTAATGTAACCAAAAATAATTTTTAAATAAAATAAAAATCAAATTACCTAAAATGAGATCAAGAGAATGATTTCTCTTTGGTCAATCACTTTCCATTCAGTAGTGTAATTCACTACTGTTGCATTCTGTAAGGAGATATACATGAGGTATCATAGCAAGGTTTAGACAAGAAATGAAGAAAAACAAATGAAAAATCTTCAGTCCTTTTTGCCTGTTGCCTAATGATGGTAGTAGAAAAGTGGCAAAGGGGCATAGGGTGTTTAAGAATCACATAGTTTTTAGATTGAGTATAAACATTAACTGTAGGTTCTCTAAATGTGAGGTCTTGGTCCAATGACCAATGAATTCATATACTGTGTTACTATGGAACAAACACAAGTATTGCAGTAAGCAAACCTGAGTTCAAATCCCTCTTCTGACACTAGCTACCTGAGACACTTTGGGCAAATCACTTAATATCCCTGAGCTTCATTTTCCTCACCCATAAAATGAGGCTGTTTGACTCTTTGACCCCTGAGGTCTCTTCTATCTCTAGATGTATGATTCTATGATCTTAGGATATAGAACTGGATGAATCAATGAAGAAATGGAAGTTGGAACTAAATGGAAGAATGGATTCACAGGTTTTCCCTAGAGAGGCAAAAAACATGAAGTTGGCAGAATTGATTTCATCTGATGCCCAAAGGCAACACAAAACATCACTTTATGAGACATATAGCTGTCTCGTGTATTGTGAGCGCAAGAAAAATGCTACTATAAAGATAATTTCACCGTATGTACCAATATCCATTTTGGAGGATAAAAAAGTAGAGGAAATTCTATGAGGTACCTCCATATGAAATCAACATCTACTCTGACATTCACTGACTTTGATGGAACTGTGGGCACAAGTTCGGAATGTCACTTAAGAAAAGTTGGGGAAAGCAACTGAACTGGCATGTATACAGAAGCAACCTATGTTGGAGGCAACATGACTTGAAATGCACTCAGAGATTGCTTTTCACATTGTCTTAAAGAGGTAAATTACCAAAAGAATGGAGCAAAATCACCAAAAGTGGTGATGGAGAGGACATGAAAAACTAGTACCACATGCCTCTTTTTAAAAATGAAATCTCTATAAGCATCATATATACATATATTGATGATATCCTTGGTGAAAACATGAGAAGGGAAGAGGCAGGCTTTCATATATGATCCTCTATAGTAGGCAAGTTCCTTACAATTTCACCAACTGAATGGTGCAGTAGATAAACAATTCCCTTGGGTTGGTTTGTTTATTCTAAAAATATATTTGGTAGGGCACAACATAGCCTTCAACCTGGACACTTCTCAGCCCTTAATAAATATGTTAAGATCCTATAAGATTCCTGATAGAAGCAACTGTAGAGATATTTATTTAACAAACCTTTGATTATTAGGAAATTGAGGTTTAAAATGGGGGATTCTATATTGTGCTCACTCAGTGGTGTGTGTTGTTGCTAGAGAATATAAATGAGGCAGTGTATTATAGGGAAAAGAGCCCTGGCTCTAGAGTCAGAGTATCTGGATATAAATCCTACCTTGGATGCCCAATACTTGTGGGACCTTGGACAAGTCACTTAA